CTTATGTACCCCTAGCATTGTCCAACCACTAATTCAAAAAGAATCAAGAAAAATGGTCTTTTTAAAAATAATTACATACTTGCTTATTGACTTTTGGAGAGTGTGCCTTTGTGTATTCTTGAATTGGAAAATAACGTCCTCTATCTCAAATTGTTAATTCTCCTCCAAGTGAAGTAGTATTGGCTAATCTTCTAGCCAACCGTTGAACAAAAGCTTCGAAGTTTAAGTTGAGGATTATATCGTTAACACATTGCACACTTGACAATGTGACTTTAATGTATTCTTGTAGATATGTGAAAATGTGACTCATTATCCTACGAAACTATTTAACGACATTTAATTATTTGCCAAATGATGCTTCTTTGATTCGGGATGCGATTGAAGATACCTGATTTTGGATCTCATCCGTGTACGCTCCGGCGTGACAATTAATTAATTGCTCGAATAAGATAAAAATGGCTTAAATAGAGTTTTTGAGTTTGTCTCTTGTACCTTTGTTGCACCATGTACGTGGTTTCATAGTCGTCCTACGACGGTTTTCACCTTTGGTGGGGAAGTGGAACATGAATGTGGGACATGCATGTGGGACGTGGCTTCCCGTGCTGGACAGGGGGTATTAGTGAGAGCAAACTGTTTACTTGATCTTAGGAATGCTTAGCTTTTAAACAGTTCTAAAATATACGCATATCCTTAGCATATATTTGGAAATGCTTCGGGCATTTTTGAAAATCATCGCATATAGGTTATGCGCATGATAATGCTATCAACCCATTTCTTTGATCGTATATGTATGCTTAAGCATTAAAATATGCATGCATTTGTGGTAAAAGAAAATAAAAAAACAAAGTCCACTCATTTTCATACACACACACACACACAACTATCTCTAGGGTCTTAATGTTTTAAAAAAAAAAAAAATTAAAACAATTTTTTTATAGAGTTTCAAACTATCTATGCCATGCCTATCCTTCTATTTTTCGATCTTTATCTAGTTTTATAGGCAAGTGATATTACTAATGCGCAATCTTGGATTGTTGACGGCTGTGATTATGAGGAGGATGTTGACAATAATATCTTACCAACTATAAGAGATAGTATAAATTATTGAGTTGAAATAAGGGAGCCCGATGAAGATGATTTTGTATTGGATGAAAAAGAAGAGATTGAATTGAAATTTGAAAAAAAAAAAAGGGACAAAATTTAGGATTTTTTTAAATCAGTGTTCATGTCTACTCTGATTTTAGGAATTGATTATTAAGTAATTGTAGTATTTATAATTTTAAGCAATATGTTTTTGTTGAAAATTTGAAGAATATGTATAA